AATCAGGATGGGAGTGTCAGAGACAGTGCGATTGGCACAGGACAGCAGAGTTTAGAGCTGTTGTACATATGGTCACTATGAGTTACAAGCGACTCGACAGCACATAGCAACAACAACCTGTTTCTTCCTTTTATAGTCTATGGAATATTCCGTAATCTTTTCCAACACTAAAACTCTAAAGATATAAATTTTTCTTCTGTTATCCTTATTCATTGTCCAGCTCTAAGATGCATAGCAAGATGTATGCACATTTCAGTCTTCAAATTGGAATCATTGCTCTTTAGTATTTTGCACAGGTTCAAAAGAATACATTTCCCTATCTCCTGACTTCTGGTATCAAGGGTGTTTATTATGGATCCAAAAATAATAATTGACAGTTTCAGTTGTTTCTCTTCCTATCATGATATTGCCTACTGACCAGTGTTAAAGACTTTTGTTTACCTCATGTTGAGATGTAATCTATATCGAAGGCTATTGTGTCCTTATAATCACAATACCCTTAAACTACACATGCAAGCACACTCACAGATACACTATTTGATTAATAAAGACTAATTCATGGAAAAGTTCTGTTGTTGTTGCTGTGTACCATGGATTCAGAACCGAGTCATAGCTGACCCTCCGGTGGGCTTTCAGAGGCAGTTAATCACACGGGAGGAGATTGTCCATCCTTCCCTCTCAAACAACAAGCCTTCAGGATTGCAGTGCAGCTTCTTGTCACTAGGTCACCAGAGGGTTTTAACATTTTTTAATATTTTAAAGAGAATGTTGTTGGTTGTTGTTATGTGCCGTCATTTTATTAAATTGAAGGATATGAATACCTAAACACTTTATGTGAAATATTAAAATTCTGTTTTATGAAATTAAAAAAATATTTTAAAAAGTAACAGGATTTAAAGACCAAGTGTAATTTTTTAATATGAAATAAATGATTGTTAGTATTTTACTATATCTTCCATTTTATATAGCTCAAAAAGCTTATCTTGGAAAATAGGACATATATAATTTTCTTTCTCAAGTAGAAACATCTTCATAGTGTGGCTTTATTGAATTTTTTTTCAAGGAGGAAAAAAGGGAAAGACTTAACATCATAAGCCAAAATGCTTGACTGTTGAATTTCTGTTAAATCTTTCAATTAAGATATTGGAATATTCATAGAGACTTTTCTTTAGTCCAACCATCTGGACATTTACTAGATTTTTAATAAATGCAAATAGCTAATTTAACTAAAATATACAATACAGTTAAATTTCAGGCCTGTATGGGGAGAAAAGCAGAGGAAAAAATTAAAAGTTTTAAAAAAATCATTGTTACATCAAAATTTCCATTAATTATAGTAATTATCAATGATTGGAACACTTAAAGCATCTGCAAGGAAAACAAGTGGCTATGCTTATACATGCTCATTTGATACTTGAATTACTTAAATATAGCTATTGTTGAGAAATTAGTTGGAAATCATCAAGAAAGTCACTTTCAAAACCTAATCTGTTGTATGACAGAGAAAAAAATTGAAGATTTAATAAAGGAATGCGTGGCCAAACATTATTATTTCAATCATTACATATAAATTAGTATAAAAATTAAGAAAAATCCAGTTGGTAACTGACTTCAATTATAGTTATTTCTATACTAAAATTTGTTAATTCTGATATCTAATTAGAAATTATAATAATGCAATTATAGTGAGTCCTCATTTACTGAGGACAAAGATCATTTACTCATCTTGGAAATTATTTTTTCTTTTATAACTACTATGTACCTGGTTGTAAGGGAATCATCTCAAGCATAAGGAAAATATGATAATACCACCAATTATAATTGTCCATTGGAATCAATATATTTGTTCTTTTAATTACATTTAAGTTTCATAAAATGTAATATGGTTTCAGGACCTATACTTTAAAATATTAACTCATACTGCTTTAATATTTTAATTATTTCTTTTCTTTTAATTTGTTAATTAAAAATCTTCAAATGTGAGGAGAGTGAAGTTGAAAATCTTACTGAACAAGGTATCACATAAAGACAATTTTTGTGATGATACTATAACTAAATACCTTTTATACTGTTCCCTAAATGTTGTTAAAAAAATAATATAATTAAAGACCTTTAAACTGTTCCCCAAATGTTGTTAATAAAATGAAATAAGGGAGCTCTGGTGGCCTAGTGGCAAGAAGCTGTGCTGCAATCGCGAAAATGAATGGTTAATGAATGGTTCAAATATACCAGATGCTCTGCTGGAGAAGGAGAGACAATCTCCTTCTATGTCTGTCAAATCTGATTCAATGGTACACAATGAAA